TGGTTTTCTGTTGTGAGATGAAAGCGTTGAATCAAAGCACACACACTTTACTCCAGATGTCCTGATTGAGGACGACGTGTTGAACTCTCGATAAAGTGTTCAGGGACGCGGCTGCACGAGCACAGAAACACGGTCACCACATCCACTGAAGAGGACGAATGAACTGAAGTTTGGTTTTCTTTCACTAAACAGAAACCTGAGATGAAGAATGAAACGTGGCGTCTTTTCTATTGTCTCAGCTGATCACAAACCTCAGTTTTAAAATGTGCCCTCGTCACTCCTCTAATAATCCTTTGCTTTAGTTACATGGAGGCAGGATGTTAAGCTAAGCTACATCCACACTACTACGTGGTGCAGTGAAATAATAATGCATTATAGTTGTATGATTTTGCATTAAATATATAAACCTGTAGCTGTTAAGGCTCAGGAGGAGAATTCTCTCACTATGTGCAGCACACGACAGAGACATTTGATCCATTTTAATGTAAACATATTGATTAGTGGAGGCGGTCACACAGCGTGTTCCAGCCCCGGCGTCCAGTGGGGACAGATGTATTTTGGACCGGTGCTCAGCGGGTCACACTGTTCGCCAAGCTGGCAGCGTCTGTGTGACCTACATTCTCACATGCCGGGCGGCGTTCTGAATCCAGAGAGGGTGTTATGTGTTGTCCGGGTTAGGGTCACCATGGAGACGTGCGGTGTGTGACTCAGCGGTGCCGGAGGCGGAGATAAAGGATCCGCCGAGGGTTCGAGGCCAGGTCACCTGCTGGTCTCTTTAAAGGTCGTCTAATTTTAGTCTGGATTAGTTCTGTTGGTTTGCAGTAACGTATTCATCGACATTATTTCTAATGTAAAAGTGTCTCTTTAGTCTCACTGGCTCTCATTCATCTGTTGACTTCTTCTTAATGTCACTTTGTCCTTTTTGAAACAAATCATGTGTGAAAAGGTGTGAAAGCAAACTTGTAAACTATGTGAGATAATACGAATACACTGGTGTTTAGAACAGGTTGTAGTGCAGGTTGAGGGTTAAATACTAAACATAACACTATTGTGAGAATGTAAGGCGTTAAGAGCATGTTTCAGCAAAGATAAAGTTTAACTAGGATTAGCTTGAAATTCTGTAGAATGCATTTTGTAAAACAAGTATGGAGCTGGAGTCAGGAAGTGGTTAGCCTAGCTTAGCATAAAGACTGGAAGCAAGGGGAAACAGCTAGCATGGCTCTGTCCAAAGTATAGAAGAATACTAACTGTAAATCTATACACATCTGTTTGTGTATTTACATTTAGTGCTAAGCTAGGCTAAATACGGCTAATATCGACCTTTTCATTTAGGCAAATAAAATGTTGCAACTATTCCTCTAAGTGGATCATGTTTTCCATATTTAATGTAGAGAGGAGCTGAAAATATTTATATTTTTAAACCTAAACTAAAAATATTTTTTTATAGTGTTTCATAATGTTTGCGGTTTTATTATTAATTTTATTGCTATTATTATTGTACAGCTATTCTACTCTATTTTGTTTGATCTTTATGGAATAGTATATGTCTATGGCTTGTAAATCCCTTTGAAGTTCATTTGATTCGTACAAATTAAAGTTAGATTTTTGTGTAGTTTGTAATCATTTCACCACACTGTGATTATCTCAACGATCGACCACTGACTGTGTGTTTATTGTGTGTATTCTTATGATCAGCCCTTCAAATTAAAAACTTTTATTTCAGTTATTCTGAGTGTTCTCAGTGCTTCTTCTGTCTGTCTGTCTCTCTGTGTCTGTCTGTCTGTCTGTCTGTCTATGTCTGTGTCTGTCTGTCTGTCTCTCTCTCTGTGTCTTTCTGTCTCTCTGTCTGTCTGTCTGTCTGTCTGTCTGTCT